GCTGTCAGAGCAAACAAAGAACACTAAAGGTCAGAGCACACAGTTACAACACCATGGCGCTGATTTTAAAATGTTCTGTCCAGTGGAAATTCTTATGTTCTTCACTTCTATCTGGTGGCACTGGGCAAGAAAATGTATACATCAGCCCCCATGTGTGGCAAGCTTTAAGAGTGTGGTGGCAACATGACAAAATGACTGACTATTTCTGCCCTTAGTGTAGCACTGACATGCTTCCTTTAAATATGCATTGATGTTCACACCCAAGAAAATTCCCTGCTGTATGCAACATGGTGGTAACTGCGGTCTGACAATATACGGTGGCTTGTTGAGTGTACAAGTACAAAGTGCTCAGCAATGTACAGGAGACAAGAGGTGGTTTTACAAAGATGGCGGATTCCAAATTATTTAGCATGAGCCTACAGAAAATATTACTTCAAGTTTGGCTGGCAAACAATTTGAACCTATTTAATTGGTTTGTTTGGTAATTGAAAGCAAAATAGTTAGCATGGAGTAAATTTCAGTTTGACAACCCAGCAGCATTAACTCATACACATACAGTATGTATATGGGTCATAAAATAAAGTCTTTGATAACATTGAAAACGTTAGGGATCTAGGTCTAAAGCAGCACACTTATAAACCACAGTGCTGTGTTTTACCGATGTTATGATTACCATTAAGGTGCCCATACACTGCACGATTCTCGTACGAGAATCGTGCAGTGTGAATGAAGATGTGCGACCGTTTCTACTGTACGGTCACACGTCTTTTGTCTAAGGAGCATGCTAGATAACGTATGGGTGTTTGAATGATGCCGGGCTGGTCAGGGGTGCATCCCTCCCCTCCCTCCTTTCCTTCCTAGCTCCTCTTACCTGCACACATGGCCTCGTCTGCCGCCGGACCGGCCAGAAGTGAAGTCACGTCACTAACGTGACGTCACTTCTGGCCAGTCCGACATCAGACTAGCAGCGTCACTGATGGGGCCCTAGCTTGTCTCAAAGCCGCTGGAGCGGCAATGCTGGGGCCCTGCGCTGCTAGGGCCAGGCCCCCGCCTCCTCGCCCTTCACCGTCGGCCGATAGTCATGTAAGGGACCTGGGCAGGCCTCCAGGGTCCCCAGGCCCCTACATGAGTATCGGCCGTACCCCCCTGATGGCTGCCCTGTATGGACACGTGTATGAAGTTATATTTGTGGGCCTTCAGAAATATGAAAACCTTCTGTACTGCTGTCTAGATGACATTGTTAAATTAATATTTGTGTATGTGACCATAGCAGCCATAGTGCTTAACTGTCACTTCCAGCTCTACTAAAAACATTGTTTACACTTAACTTTTATAAAGCACTACCTAAGCCATACAACTAATGACACTTATGCTTAATTAAAACACGCCATTCCAAACAAACCATCAAGCAAAGGGCACACTTAGCTGATAGATAATCATGAACTATACGCTGACAAGATTATTAACGTCAAGCTGATCTCTTTTACATGTTTAATTGAAAAAAACATTTAGTGATAGTAAACTGTATATGTACAATAATTAAGAAGAAACGATATTCTCATTCTAAAGGATACATTCCAAAATGCCCTCATGCCTCAGGAAGCAAGGTCACAATCTAACCAACAGCCCAAAATCATTTCTTTGAAACAATAAGTTTAGAGTCCAGCAGTTACACATCTTGAAATGTAATAATTATCCATTGAATGTGCCAACAGATAAAACTAGGACAATCTAAGAGATAGGCCAACAGGAATTCCTAGAACGACCAGCGTGGGGCTCCGAGGATCTACCTAATTTTTAAAGCACATTTAGGCCTCATTCACACGTGTGATTAGTACGCAGCCCCTGTCCTTCTCTATGGGACTATGCGGCCATACGCCCCCCTATGCTCACCCCAAGTGCAGGTCCGTACGGGTGCATGTGTCCCAGCTCGGACGCAGACAGGACACATCCTGTCAGCGTACGAGTACGCTCACCCACACGGACGTGCAGGGCGGGTGAGCGCAGGGCGGCATACGGCCATATACTCCTATAGAGAAGGACAGGGGCTGCATACTAGTCACACGCAGCACCTGTCTTTCCCGGGAGCTGCCCGATACGGCAGTGCACGCAGCTCGGAGCTGTACGTGCCGGCCGATTCCAGTGTGAATGAGCCCTTAAACTCAAAAACTTAAATTGAGTACATTGCAGTTTAACAGTCCTTACATGAGACAGCTGCATCCGTTTCCTTTTTTCAGTGTCTCTTGGTGACTACACTAACTTCTCCACTGTATCAATGGAGGAGCCATGTTTGCTGCCCAGGCTAGACTTCAAACATGTCTGCCTTTCTTCATCTTCATTAACTTTAGAACTGATGGGGTAAGTTGTTTAGAGAAAGATAAGGTTGTTTATGCTTTCTGTTACACTCACAGGGAGTGACAGGGACACAGGATTTCTAGCAAGATCAACAGATATTTTCTGTACTTGCTGACAATTGTCTTACACTAGAAAAAACTAATGCAGTTACCACACCCAAGGACTAGAAGTCCACTACTTATCACATTTTGTTTTGGGTTTAATTATCCTTGAGGGCCCATTTACACTTCCATGTTTCAGTTATGCAAGGCAACACACATTTAAAATGGCACCCCAGCCAGGCATCACACCTGAATTGCAGTGCAGTGGTAGTGCATTGAGGTGTGTTGCGAAACATGGTGCATGTCTTATTTTTTTATTTTTGGTGCATTAGGCTGCATTGGCAGCCCATTTATTTCAATGGGCTGTCTCAATGTAATGCACGTTAATGTTTGATATAACATGAGTTCCTACATCATGGAAATGACAAGAGAGAAAAATTGGTTCAAGGCTGGGTACTCACAGAAGCTAAAGAAGAATGTAATGCATTTGCTTTTCTTGTAACATACTTGGGGAACCTAGGGCCCATTCCCAGTGCTGTTCTGGTGCATTGCATTGTGTCACATCCTATCGTTTTGTGTTAATGCAACTCATTTAAAATTATTGGCTGCCAATGCCATTCTGACGAAGCCCCTAGTGGAAGGGGTAAAACACATCAACGGTTTCCTACAGGTCTGCCATCGCTCACCTGGGAGTTTGAGGAAATGCTGGATTAAGCTACTCTCTGGTTATGAATGCGGCTCCACTAATCACACTAAGGCTGCACTATGATGGGGAAGCTGACAAGTACATGATAAATGTCACAATAGAAGCTATATGATTTAGGACTCAGTGCCATATTGTGCAAGAATCTGAGAACTGTGTAATCGCTATCAATCAGCTATTGAGTATTACTATTAGCTAACTGCCTGTGGAGTATGCATGGTGAGCAACAAGATAGGGTGTAATCAGGGCAGCCATCAGGGGGGTACGGCCGATACTCATGTAAGGGGCACGGGCAGCCTAGGGGGCCCGCCCGTGACCCTTACCAAGCCCTGAGTCCAGCGCGTCACCATGCCCTGCGTCCAGCGGGTCACCAAGCCCTGCGTCCAGCGGGTCACCAAGCCCTGCTTCCAGCGGGTCACCAAAGCCCTGCATCCAGCGGGTCACCAAGCCCTGCATCCAGCGGGTCACCAAGCCCTGCGTCCAGTGGGTCACCCAGCCCTGCGTCCAGCGGGTCACTCAGCTCTGGGTGCAGAGGGTCACTAAGCCCTGTGGCGGTGCGGTGGGGGGGGGGCCCGGCCTAAAGCCGTGTAAGGGGCCCCAAAATTTCTGATGGCTGCCCTGGGTGTAATAACAGGCAGTGTGGAATACTTATTTGGAATGAGATCTGCTGTTTATGGAAAAATATACAATCTTCAAATCAAACGAATATTACCTGTGAGCTTTTCCCGCAATAGCGATACAAGTATACAATATATTGTGATTAAATAGCGAATTGTGACATTAGCTGGATTATATTATCCATGAATAAAGGAGCCATCTTCTTTGTCTGGCTATCCGGCAGCAATAAGGAGTTAAAGTGACATTAGGCACACATTACAGTATTGTTTTATGTTAAAAAATCTGAGGGTTTAATGTCACTTTAATGTCACTTTAACACTCTCAAGTGGAGAGGAGTGGTAGTTTCCAATCAACCACTTTCCATAGTTGTACCATCACAGAAAATATGTTTGGATACAATGACACTGTGTAAAATATTGACTTTTGAATCAAGTGTGGAGATACAAAATAACAATATTATCCTCCCTTTCATTACAATTACTCCTATGAGCCAGTGAAAGTCATATTCAGACGGAAGTTATTTGGATATCGCCATCTAAAAGTGTAGCCGGTCAACCTGGAAATAATTAGCAGCCGGCAAATATACATAGAGAATCCCAATAGGTGGTGGATTGGGGTCTCACAGGCATGCATGCAAGTGTATGGGTGGAAGCGACAACGTTGTCACTTCTTTTTAACGGTGTTTTGGGAGATGGTGCAATACATGTGCAATAACATTGTCTATGAATAATGTTTTATTTATAAGAATCTCTGGTCAAGATACCCTGTGTACCTTTGCACAGGCCTTTTTCTTTTTGGATACCCATTCCCAGTGCTGTTCTGGTGCATTGCGTTAATACACGCATTGCTTCACATCCTAAACCGTTTTGCGTTAAGGCAACCCATTAAAAATTATTGGCTGCCAATGCAGCAGAATAGGCAAGAAAAAAAAAGAAACGGCCATATAGCATTTTTTCTGACGGAGCACACCACAGAGCAAGGTAATGCTGCACTGTGACACACGTGCTTTAAAGGTTCATTGATGGCAAAGTGTAATTGGGTAAGTGTAGCCTAGGCCTATGAGGGCAAATAAAACTCTTTGGCATATAACTCTGCTCCCATTTACAGTAGTGCTTATTCATAAACATGCTCTACCAGGCTTAAAAATAATTAAGTCACATAAAAGTTTCACCTGGTGTGCTATTACACTCTCGGATCTAGTCTACCAATGTAAATAAGTCCCAGTGCATTATAGTCAATGAAAAGCCCATAAAGTCTGATGCAGATTGGAAGTTTCTACTGACCTCCATAACATCCAGCAGCCACAGAAGACGCTCCTAGAACAAGAGAAAAAAACAAACACATATTAAAACCAATCTAAAGTAACACCAAGCCCTAATCCCTATGCCCGGTGCTGAAAACCAGGGGGCGTAGGGCGAACCATTTAAAATTCATAAAAAGCCCAACTTCAGAGAAAATGTTTATTTTTTTAGTCTTGGGTGAAATGTGGAGTGTTTAAAACATTTGTCAGGCTTTAAATGCTGTCTGTGCACCAGCGTTACATATATTTCTGTAAAGTTTTAAACATTCTCAATGTCCCCATATAGGTGATTTATTTTGTATCCTAATCTGATTAAACCTTTTACCTGGACAGGAATTGAAGGGAACTCTCCCTCACAGGGACACAATAACACCCATATAGAGGTTCTAAACCTTCACCAGTCCACAAGGAAGTGTGCTTTTATTACTGCCTGTGTCCCCGTTGACTCTTAACTTCCTTCATTGACACCCCAGACAGGAAGTGGGGAGGTTTCCCTACCTCTTGGTTCTGTCCACCACCCTCTCAAATAGGTAAGCAAGGTAAAATCTCCCAAATGGAGATACAGAGAGCAATTATTTTAAGGCTTACTCCATGTTCAAAATTGATGTGATCTTTGAGGATCTTAGAGAATGAATAGCTTCACAATAAAAGCAGCTAGAGGGGTTAGGGATGACTTGTTTACAAAGCTATTTTGCTGCCTGTTAAGAATATGTGCATGTTTGTTTGTTTTTTTGCAAACTCTTTATTTATTTAGGATAAAGACATACATTCACAATAACAGTGCAAGCCAGTTATAGGTGGGGCTTGTAAAACAACAAGGAAATTGAGACACAGTAAGGAACATCTTGAACTTAAAAGCCTACATAACACCTTCACACCAGTGGCGGAACTACCGCCGGTGCAACCGGTGTGGGGGCCTGAGGCTGTGGGGGGGCCCAGTGGGGTCAGGTCCTGGGCACCCCCACAGCCTCAGTGGGGTCCGGTCCTGCAATATGGGGCAGTGCACGGTCCCGGTGTTCGGGACCGTGCACTGCCACCGACGGGCTTCTCAGTGAGGGGGCGGGTCCTGTGACTCACCTCCCCTCCCGGCCGCGTCCATAGTAACAGGCGGCGGGAGGGGAGGTGAGTCACAGGAGGCGTGTGTGTGTCACAAGCCCCGCCCCCTGCAGTGCACACATCGAAACTCCCTGGCAGCTGTCCTCTGGCTGGGTAAGTCCGAGCGCTGGGGGGGATGGGAGTAGGAGTTGTGTACTTCTCTTTTTCATGTAATTAGACAAGTGGATTTTAATGGAGAATATTACACTGTAATGTTCCCTATTATAATCTATTTCTCTGTTGTGTACTACTATTTCATGTAATTAGACAAATGGATTATAATGGGGATTATAATGGGGAATATTACACTGTAATGTTCCCTATTATAATCTATTTCTCTGATTAAATGATACAGACTGATTAATGATACAGACAGGCCTCTGTTCTATCAAAGTTTGAGACTACGATAGAATGTGTGACCAGTGACGTGGTCACACATTTTCACGTAATCTCGCCCAGTTTTTCGGCGGTGGAATAGGTGAAGCATTCCAACGCTTTCTCTGCTGTTCCAGGGCAGATCGGCATCGCAAATCGCATGTGCAGGAGAACCGATCTGCCCTGAAACAGCTGATCGGTCCTGAGATGTCACTTCTATCCGACTTTGTGAGTGCGGTGGAATGTGAGATCGCAGTAGGAGAGAGAAGTGACATTTCAGGACCGATCAGCTGTTCCAGGGCAGGTCGGTTCTCCTGCACATGCGATTTGCGATGCCGATCTGCCCTGGAACAGCTGGGAAAGCACTGGAATGATTCACCTATTGGCGGTCACACATTCCACCGTCGAAAAACTGGGCGGGATTACGTTAAACCGTGTGACCACGTCACCGGTCACACATTCTAACGTAGTCACAACCTTTGATAGAACACCGCCATCAGGGGGTATGGCCGGTACCCATGTGAGGGGTCTGGGGGGCCTCTTACATGGGTGTCAACTGTACCGGGGCTGCATGGCAGAGGTGACAGGGGAGGGGGTGGAGGAGGCCGGGCCCCAGCAGCAGCAGGTAAGAAGAGTTGGGAGGAGGTACAAGGAAAGGAATCCCGACGACCAGACCAACCCACCTGGGACCCTGCACAGCCCACCATAGAGAGTGTCAGGTGGGCTATGCAGGATCTATGGTGTGCTCTGCAGGGTCTCAGGTAAGTCCAGCATGCTACTGCAACATTAGAGACCGCTGGGGGGGGGTCTTGGGCCAGTGCGATCCGCTCCTGCGCCCCCCCCCCTCTTGGGAGGGGGGCCCAAGATAAAATCTTGCACCAGGGCCCTTTGGTTATTAGGTCCGTCACTGCTTCACACGGTATGAAATGAGATCATAATCCGGCAGCTAATATGCAATATGAGCATGGTTTAACCCCTTCGTGACGGGAGACGTACACTGTACGTCCCGTCACAAAGTGCCTATATGACTGGCCATGTACACTGTACGTGACGAGTTATATCAGGCTTTGTAATGCCGATAACCGCTGATTCTCAGCAGTTACCAGTCATTAATGAATGCCTCAGTATTGAGGCATTCATTATTGAAATAGTTAAGCTTTTGCAAAAGCTTCTTTGTTTCATTAATTAAAGAATGAAGCCGTTACATGCAAATACGGGACTGCTAAATAGCGATCCCGTATTTGACAGCTGAAAATAGCAGAGACGTAGCAGAGTGAGTCACCTCTCTGCTATTCGTTTTGACAGCTCGATAGCCCGATGTTTATGATACATTTCACCAAAGAGATACAATGTATCTCTTTGAGTGAAATGTATCAGACTTCTGATCGTCTGGGCCGATCAAAGACCTTTTAGTGAGATCTGAATCTGACATGCTGTCAGGATCAGTCTCTAAGGTTATTATTAGCCGTTCCTAAGTTTGGAGCAGCCTAATAATAGCCAAAAATTAAATAAAAAAGTTATTTTTTCAAGCAGTCATAGTGACTGCTTGATATAAACTGACAAAAAAAAAGTTTGTTTTTTTTTTACTTTTTTTTTTACAAAGTGTAAAAAAATAAAAATAAAGTAAAACAAAATTAGGAAAATAAAAATGATATATAAATACATTTTTTATACTATAATTATTATAACAAATTTCTATAAAAAAAAATAATAATAATCAAAACTTGCGAAAAAAAGTGTTTTCTTCTAGTTTTTTTCCTAATTTTTAAATATTTTATTCAAACTAAGTGAGGCGTTAAGTACAATGTTTGATATAAACATGTAGCCCTATCTATCCTCTAAAAAACAATATATAATATGTGTGGGTACATTTAGTAAGAAAGTATATTACTGCTGTGGAAGAATCACACAGCAAAAATGTGTGTCAGTAATTTATGAACAGAAACTGAAAACTAGCTCAGTCATGAAGGGGTTAATGACCATAATCTGGACATAGTTTCACTTCAAGCATATTGTGGTTTCAAAGCTGCAGGGTTCCATTGAAACTCTACAGTCTGTTATGGATGCAATAGGGATCTATCATTACAGACCCCCCTGTTCTATGTAAGATGATAGACATGACTGTTTTAGATGCAGTGGCCTTACCCGGGCAGTGCTTGCGGTGCTGACAGTCTGGTGGCTCTCAGTGGATGAGGTGCTTGGACTGTGAGATAAGACAGAGACTGCATCTCCTGATCGATGCCGAGATTTCATAGACTCAATTTCTCGCTTCAACACCATGTTGTCAAATACAGCCAAATCATGAGGGAAGATCTGGGGCCGTAGCTCAGACAGCAGAGTGAACTACAATGGGAGAAAGATTTATATAGCAGTAGGTATAGAATATCCTTCCACATCCAACCACACATATACACACAACTTCCAGTTACCTTGGCTTGGGTGTTGAGAAGCTCAAACATAGCCATTACGAAGGCCTGCACTGAGATGTGGAGGTCTTTGTACTGCTGGAAGTAGTAGTTCATTGTGCGTCTCTCAGGCTCAGTAAGCAACATACATGCCCTCTCTTCTAGGGCAACCACGGACTGATTACCCAGACTGCTGAGAGTGACCTGGGACCCGGCAGGTGCTCGGTAGAAGACTGGCTGTGAGAGACACAGGGACAACATCTGTTAACAAGTGTATGCAATATACTGTTATGTTCACATACATGACTATGTAAGAACCTGATAACTTCAGTGGATCTATTGGAATTTGGTTACATTGTAGATTTATATATATATATATATATAAAGTGGGGGGAATTTATCAAAACTGGAGCAGAAAGAACCTGGAGCAGTTGCCTATAGCAACCAATCAGCATCTCTCTTCAGTTTGCGCAGGTAAGGTATTCGAAAATGAGACAGAGAAGCTGATTGGTTGCCATGCAAATCTGCTCCAGATTTCGTCTGCTCCAGTTTTGATAAATCCCCCCCAGTATATTTGGAGCAGTGTAAATGATATGCACAAAGTATAGCAACTAATAGTAACAACCAATCAAAAATCATCTTTAAGTAAAAGTTAAATCTGACTGGTTGTTCTGAATTAAGTCAGTTTATTTTGTTGTTAAAAAATACAGTTTTTCCTGTTACTGTGCACATCCTGTAGGGCAGGCCAATCACAAGAAGTTCCTGTGGACTTGTATGCAGTACAGCGGCGGATGAACGTCATACTGCAGTGACTATAGCAGAACTTGTCAGCACCCTGATCATTGGCACCGCTTGTAGCATCACCAGGAATGATTTAAACGAAAGCAGGACATTTTTAAAAACATTTTTAACTTTGACATTACATGAGTATATGCAACAACATTGTACGGTGTGTTATTGCATGCACATTAACATGCGGTATGCTGTACACATGTGTTAAGGCAGCACATTTATTTTAAATGGGTTACTCATGCACCTCTACACACCTAAGACCCCGTTCACATGTAGCGACATACCTTTGCAGCGGCCGGGATAGCACGACTTTCGGGGCGACGTTCCAGCGACGATCCAGCGACGGTAGCGCGACCTTCTCTGTCAGGCTCCATAGAAAAAAAGCAATATCGCGCAAAATCCGCCGAAAAAAGGGTCCGGCAGAAGCGACTTGCGACCGCGACGAGCGACATGGAGCTAAGACAGCTCCATTGACTATCATTAGCCGGCGACTTCCCGCGATATCGCGCGGCAAAAATGCGCAATATCGCGGCGGAAATCGCGCGATAAGTCGATACATGTGAACGGGGCCTAAATCTGGGCATGGATCTTTTATGTCTGTGTGTCCCATATGTGTGTTGAGGTGTGCTACAAAGCATATACATTTGGGCAGGGGCGTCCCGAGGCTGGGTGACACCCGGAGCGGTAACCGAGTGTCACCCCGCCGGGGCGCACGCACGTCAGTATTCTGATACCTGCTGGCGGCCATCTTGGTGATGGATGCCGGCAGAGAGAGGAGGGGACAGTCACCCTGCGGGATAAGGTATGCCGCCGGGTCCCCTCCTCTCTCCTGATACTGTCGGGCGCTCGGTCATGGAGGTCATTTTCAGAGGGGGGTGACCCCAAAATGACTGAGTCATTTTGGTGTCACCCCTTCAATGGTGTCACCCAGGTGTGGGCCGCACCCCCCGCACCCTCCTTGTGACACCACTGCATTTGGGTGAGTCTGGAAGGTGCATTGTGGTGCCCTTTAAAATAACTGGCACCATGATGCTGATTGTATAATACTATACATTGTGTTACATGCATTAGGTTAACATGTTATAAAATGCAGGTTTTACCATGCCTTACCACAATGCATAGGTGTAAAGTTGACCTAATAAAAGTCTCATATAGAAATGCAAAAAAACAAAAAACTACAAAACTATTTTCTGATCAGTAATGAAAAGCAGTGAAGAGTTTAGGTGTGATAACTGGAAAATTCTCTGAACTCAATGATTTATTGTACCATTTAGAAAACAAAGAGACCACAATCTGCGCTATAGAACTTGTGGGTATTTTTTTCACTATAAGGCTGACAGATTTACAGCAGCTAGAAGGATCATTCAAAACATGTCAATTTAAGTTTTAGCGACAGCCGCAGATCCAGAATCAGTCGCTCAGTGAACCTTTTATATTCACACTGGGGGGGGTATGAGGGAGATGGGAGATAAGTGTACCGTAAATTCACTTAAAGCGTATCTAAATGCAAAACTAATATATTGCAGCTTACCAGCCTTTAGATGTGGTGACTTTATTAGTTGTCTTTAACAAATGTTCTAAAATATTCTAGCTTGAAAAATGAAAATGAATGCATCCACCACATCTAAGGATTAATAAGCTGCAATACATGCAACTTTTGCTCTAAGATTTAGATATGCTAGCATATAGCTCTAACTGTATTGTGGTAAATCTCACTGGCCATATATACAGTATATATATTTCCTGGCGCATCATGGCAGCACACAACGGGCTAATGCCCCGCCTCTTAACCCCATAGGACAAGTCAATTATAAATTTGGATCCCCCACTGCCCACGGCATTCTTTTTTCTGTCCTCGCCATGGACGAGTCTACAATTTTTGCCCTTACCTAGTCGATATTCCTGCATCTTCCCACACGGGGTCAGGTCTCCCCTGATGTGATGTCTCTGGCTTAAAATACCTTTAAACAAGGTATACAGGCAGAGAGACCCGCTCAGCAGCCCGGGTCATTAGCTATGAGGTTCTGATTGAGCCTGTTTCTACTACTCCTTGGCAGCTTTCCTTGCCGCGGACTTAGACATTTTCCCTCTCCTACCTTTCAGTTTCCTGTAATGGCCGTGACTCTCCAGCACGGCTACTATCTCTGGGTCCTCGACTGAACGATCCATCCCAAAATGGTGGCAGCCGATCTGCGCAGGCGCGGACGGCCGCCATAGCAGGCTCCAACCAAATGGAGTGCAGGGTCACTTTGGCGCGTGCGCGGTTTCCTTAGATGCCGCCATTCAGGATTTAAACAGCGGCGGCGGGGATTATGACTCCTCTCAGGAGCTACAGAAGCAGCGGCCAAACTTACTATCAGACAGCGCTGGATGTCCTCTGAGCCTCTTTACAGGTACCTCGTATTGTTATAGTCCATTAATTATATTGTCCTGTGCTTTTCTTTCTTACCTCCTTTCCTATGTCTACAGATCATGTCCGATGATGCTGCCTCACAAAGTGCTGCATCCCCTAAGAGGTAAGGGTGGGTACATTTTTTTTTGGTTTCACTCATTTAAGGAGACAGTGAGGAGTTGCTTATTCAAGTTATATTTTACAGCCCACCTCACGAACATCGCACCCACTCCAGACGACGGTCCCCGATGCCACAGAATCATCACAGGAGGGGTAGCAGCTCTTAACCTACCCGCCGTACTCAGCCCACCAAAAGCCATGAGCACAATACTTGTTGGGCATGTGGAAACCCGGCCCTAAAGGATAAATTGGTCTGTCAAGCCTGTCTAATGGAGGATACACAGGACCAGGGGACTCCTACACCGGATGTGGTGTCACTGATCAAGCAGTCAGTTAAAGAATGTTTTCAAGAGCTTACAGGATCCTCTTCTGTGCAACCTTCCACATTGCAGACCTTAGGCGTCCCGGGTTTGTATTCCAGCGAATCTGACAATGCAGACACATGTGAGCAGTTTGCCCCTTCGGGCTTTGATTTTTCTTTGATTGATCCCTTCATCGCAGCAATCAAACAAGCTATAGATTGGGAGGACGATATTCAACAGTCGGCTAAGATGAGGAAATACTTTCCTCATCTTAGGAAGGAAAAAAATACATTCCCATATATGGGTGAGATTAAGGAGCTCATTACCGAGGAATGGCGCAAAGTCGGGAAGAAACCATGCCTCAATAATAGGGTGGCAAAGCTATACCCCTTTAAGGAGGAAGATATCACTGGCCTTACTTCACCCTCTCTGGTAGACGCTGCAGTGATGCGTCTGGCACGTCTCGTGACCCTCCCCATGGATGACACAGTCTCCTTCAAGGATCCCTTGGACAGGAAAACAGACTTGGACATTAAGAGAGCATATACAGCTGCCATCCAGCGATTGCGCTCACAGCTGTGCCTAGAGCGATTCCGTTGTGGATTCAAAATATAGACCAAGCCCTGAGGATGTGGACAAAGATAAAATCATGGAACAACTTCAGGACTTGCGTCTAGCAGAAGACTTCATTGGTGAGGCGGCGATAGACACCATAAGGTGCTCAGGCCAGGCCATGTTAGACATGGTAACAGTGTAAAGAGTCATGTGGCTCAGACCCTGGTCTGCAGACGCATCTGCAACTGGTATTGTATACCTTATGACGATTCGAACTTGTTCGGTGGTCAATTGGAAACAGCAATTGCCAAAGTATCCGGCGGTAAATCTGGACCACTTCCGCCGGGCAGGAAGTTCAGAAAGAGCTACCAGTCCAGTGTTAAAAGACTACCGGTCGACAGATCAAAGGAATCTTGCTCATATAGGCCAGGATGAGAATTTCGACGTACTTGGAAAGGTGCTCAGTCTTCCTTACTGAGGTTCTCTAAGAAATTAGCCACCACAGGTTCACAGGATTCGAAGAAACCGTTTTGACGGTACGGGCGCCCACTCCTATTCAGTGGGCGGCTGTTTAAAATTCTTCTCGGAGACATGGGCCAAAGCCCCAGAATGCGATTGGGTGCGATCCACCATTTATCAAGGCCATTGAAGATTCAAGGACAATCCCGCTCAATCCAGACTTACTCAAACCAAACTCCCCAATTCCGCACACAAAGCTCTGATTCTAATCGAATACAACAGCAATCTGCTTCAGAAGGAAGCAATCTGTCCAGTTCCATTGACCGAACGATTCTCAGGGTTCTACTCGCCTCTATTGAGAAAGAAAACAGGGGACCTGAGACCAGTTTTAGATCTAAAAGACCTGAACAAACACATTCGAGTTCCAACATCCCGAATGGAGGCGTTACAAACAATTTTTCCATTGATCCGGCTCCAAGATTGGATGGTCTTAGTGGACCTCCTAGATGCCTATTTCTATATTCCTATACATAGGAGATTTTGCAAATTCCTGAGATTCGCAATCCTGGGATACCACTCCCAGTTCCGGTGCCTCCCCTTTGTAATCTCAACAGCTC